GGAAACAATACAGCTCGATAAAAGGGATTCAACTAAAAGTATCGATTTGAAAGCAGAATGAGGGAAATCACCATGCTTTATTAATTCATTTCTTCAGAATAGAAAGTTTTATGTTCATTATTTGTCTCAATTTTTGCTTTGTTTAGGGTTTAGTTCAGTTGGGCAAAATAACAGCGTTGCTAATGCTTAGCTTGATTATTATTGTTCATTATTTCAATAATTCGTAATGTTTGTGCAAGAAGGAAACTAATACTTTTCTTTGATAAGATAAAGTTTACTTCAACAAACAATTGTTAGTTGTTACTAAAGCAATTCTATGATACAATTTTTCCCTTTCAAATAATATATTTCTAATAAATGTACTCCAGTGTATTTACGATTACAAAAGTACCTCAGTATGTGAAAAAGAAATGCATGTGTACCACTTTCACTTATCATTCTTGCCTGACATCTTGAAAAGACGACAATATGAATGAAAGTTGAATTAATAGGAAGCTTAGACATTGCATGATCAGTGTGTCAGCTTCCTATTCCTGCTGAAAAAATGATTTTGCTGAATAAAAGGAATCTGATCGAGATGTGCTTACCAGCAAGAGACAGGAGTGAGAATAAGGCATCCAAAGGTCTGGGATAGTTTCAGTGTAAGCCGTTTGTGTGAATGCATCCCACTCTTGCAAGCTACTACCATTTGGGTTTTAGCTATTCTGCCTGTTTCTCCCACCGCTAGTTCCAGTCCCACCTTAGGCACAAAGGCAGCTGGGTGACCTTGAATCAGTCACTCTCAGTCCTAGAAAAGAAGTTGTGGCAAGCCATTTCTGAAAGAACTCCAGTGAGTACAGTACTCCAGGCAGTTGCCCAAAGTCAAAAACTGACTCGAAGGCACAATAATTCTATATAATTATACTGGTACTTTGCATGCATGCTCTACATGTTAAAAAGCCCATTTTCGATTCAATTACTTCTCTTCTGCTGCATCCCTGGTGAGTAAAACAGCTGATGCTCAGCAAATTGCTCTGCCATGTGAATCAGCTGTGCTAAAAAAAAAACAGGAAATAAATCACAGGAAAGAGCAGGGGTGGGTGGGTGGGGCCAAATGCTCACTGGAAATACCAGTTTGCCCGAACCATTCCAAACCAGTAGAATCCCACCCCCACTGTTATGTCTTGTTGATGTTGCATTTCCAAAATAGAGTTTATTCTGTTGGTTTACTACACTGACAAGTGATAAAATGCTATTATCAGTACAATAATTCACAATAATATAAGCAGTAAATTCCTTCAAATTTATTTTGTACCATTTGAGCTTTTATAGGCAATCACATTATTGTAGCGTTTTTGCCACTATGCCAAATTCCATTTCAAAAATTGAGATATCAACGTACTCATTAGCAGCACCTAAGAAAAGCAATCCACATGTCTGCTTAATTATGTAACTTATTATTCAGCCACATGTGTTTTTTTTTAAATGTGGATGATCTCAAGGGTAATCATAGGGAAGATGAAAATGAATGATTAATTATGTTTTCTTACGCCAATACACCAGCTGTTAGTTTGATCCTATGCCACATACGGAAAGCAATTGTGATCTATCAGATGGGAAAAGGGAGACAAGATACCGTAACTGTGAGCCAGAAGTCCAAGATTGGAATCTCCAATGGCCAATTGGACCAGCAACATTTTGTGGGCTGAGGAAAAGATATATATCACTGTCATCTGGAAAAGAAATGTTGCCTTTTTATTAACTGTCTGAAATGGGGGAAAAAGATAGATGCTATAAAAATCTTAATGGATCCAAATCAATAACATATTTTATAAAAATAATGAACTCAGTTTTGATATGGTGACAGTGATAATGGAGGCATGGTGAAGAATTCCAAATTGATTTTTTTTTTCTCCAAATGGCAAACAGACAGGAAGACGGTGAATAATAATCAATATTAATTTTAAAAAAACCTTGCATATTTGGGAACATATCTATAGTAGTGGACATCTTACTGAAAGGCGGTGCACCTTTCTGCACCAGTTTGAAAGCAGCTCTAGACTTTTTGACAGCACAATTGGTAATGTCCATATTAGACATTCAGTAAAATTTTGGGTTTTCTTTTGCAACATCTGAAATGGTGGGCTTGTGGATAGTCTGATTTTCCAATCGATAGGAACGCTTCTTTAATGCTGTGCTGCCAGGAGTCCTTGGAGACTATGGTGATATAAAAATATAGCAGCAAATAAATATATGAACTCTTGCCTTGCCCTGCCTCCAGAACTGAGAGCAACCATTACTTTCTCTTCTATGGTGTCAACTTCAAAATGCATCTTTTCAAGGCGTCAAACCAGTAGCTTGCATTTTGCAGTTTGTGTTTCTCCTCTGGGATATAGCCTTATTGATTTCATGCGCTCTTGTTTAGCCCAGGCAACTGTGCGCCTTCACAGAATTGCAAGTTTCTGAAAACTGTTTGGGGGGAAAATGCAGCTGCAATAAGCAAATATTATTAAAAACAGTGTAAAAAAAACATGTTGGGAAGTACCAACAAAGCTATCCCTTTACTTGCAAAAGCCCCCAGTTGCTTTTAAATAAATAAATAAAAAATGAAAGAATGACAGCTGTGTGGTTGGATAGGTCTTAAATATAATTTATAAATAGCCAGATAATTGGTTGGATGCAATATGTACTTAAAAATGGATGGGGAAGCACTACTAATTTATTTGCTTTTTTTTTAAAAGGACATTTTTATTACTTTAAAATTGAGGGGATAGCATATTGATTACATTTTGTTGTTCTGCATTCTTTTATAGTCTCATGGGATAACTGGGAGGATTGTTGATTGGTTGATGGTGTTCATCGCCTCTTTCCAGGTTTTTTTTAGGTCAGCAGGACTGAAAAGGATTGCAGATCTCTTTTATAATGTTTTGGAAGATTTGTGAAGTGAAATTGATGGCAGTCTATAGGAGTAATTATTTTTTTAATAGTAAATTTCCTGTTAGGAAAAGATTGACCGTATCATAATAGGAAGAATTTACAGTAGACCAGAGGTGGTATTTAGCAGGTTCTGACCAGTTCTGGAGAACCGGTAGCGGAAATTTTGAGTAGTTCAGAGAACCGGCAAATACCACCTCTGACTGGCCCCACCCCCATCTATTCTCTGCCTCCCGAGTCCCAGCTGATCAGCTTGGTCTTCTTTTGTTGCCCCACACAGAATAAAGGAGCTGGAAAGCAGGTTAGCGGGGTGGGGGAGGGAATGGAGATTTTACAATATCCTTCCTCTGCCACGCCCACCAAGCCATGTCCATCAAGCCATGCCACACTCACCAAGCCTTGCCCACAGAACCCCTAATAAAAAAAATTGAATCTCACCACTGCAGTATACCATATTTCTCTGTTAATATCAAGAAGAGTCTTTGTTCCCCTTTCATAAAAAAACTTTTGTTGTAGATTTCTGCCTTTTAGCCTGATATGATTCTACTGAAATGTTCAATCATGCTTAATTATCAAGGCATTAGATTCATAAGCTACCTTTCCCTCAGCAGCTCTTGGATTTAATAATGAAGTGGAACATCACAACATTGTCTCTATTGTTTCATTGACTTCACTGATGAAATAGCAGATTTAAGCAATAAATGTGCTTATTCTGCATTCATTTAATAATTAAGGATTACAATCCGGTGCCAAATTTTGAAAAGCCTCAGAGAGTTACATCCAGTAATTAATAAGTGGCAAGTATTGGATAAAAACCTTTCCATGAATTTGATATGAACATTTATTTACAATCACATGTTACTTCTGGTGGAAAACACAATACCTATGAAAAAGGTCTGGAATATAATTTTTGTTTTGAATTTGTATCGGTGACTTCACATGGTTTATGAATTATAAGAGAATACCAGCAGCCATTGTGTGCAGTGATTTCTTAAAAAATGATTATGTATTAGTACTGTTTTCTAAGGATTGTTCACTGTGGACAAGGCCATCCAAGAGAAAGTCAATAAGATTGGAATGACTGTATGATTAAAGCTGCACCCCCTTTTTTACAAAAATGTGTGTAAAACCTCAGTTATGTGGTTGCAACCATCATATTGATTTTTTTGCCTGTGAAAATGGGAAATATACTTTGCTGGATATGACCAACTATAGGTCAAAATCAAGAATGAAATATTAAGGAAATGTTAATTTCTGAGATTTTGTTGCTGCTTTATAAATGTTATCAGTGAATGTTTCTTTTTCAGGCATAGTAGGGAGTGGTAGAAGTTAATAGAATAATAGAGTTGGAAGGGGCCTTGGAGGTCATCTAGTCCAACCCCCTGCTCAAGCAGGAAAGTCTGTTCCAAATATTAGCCTCTACCTAGGATTGAACTCACACTGTTTGGTGCCAGTCAGCAGATGTTCCTGGTATAATCTGATAGCTGTATAACTTCTGTTTCTTAATAAGTAAGAAAAGCTTCAATGCTTGATGTGGTGAGACTCAGGCTCTGTCAAGTTCCCATCATCTTTAACAGCTCAGCTGAGGTAAAAAAAATTACCGCTGCTAGTAAAATATTTTGTGATGCACTTTAATCTATGTAGCCAGTTGAGCAAGGTATTATGACTAAAATTGGTTTTTTGTTTTTGATTTGAATCAAATCTGTCCTATTTTAAAATGTTCAGGTGAATGCTAGTACATGTTTTGGGGATTCACCATTCATTGTCACAAGAATTACAGTAAGTAGACCTGGATAAGCTATGGTCTTCTAATCGGGAAAAAATAAATCTGCTAGGCTCTTCTAAAGAGTAACAATGTGGTAACCATTTATGGTACTGAAAAACAAGCTACTGCAATCATACTTATACCAGTTTACATTGTAGGCATTTAAACATTGCACATCCTAGGTTTATTTAGTGCTGAATCAACTTATTTACAAACGTATAGTGAATTTCAGGGAAAACTATTCAGCCAATTCTAAACCAGAAGGTGTGAAGGTGCATACAAGAATGTTATCTTTCCCCCCCCCCCCCCATTGATTTTATAGGTCATAATGACTACATGTGCCCTGCTACCAACCAGTGTACCATTGACAAGAACAGAAGGAAAAGCTGCCAGGCTTGTAGGCTCCGAAAATGCTATGAAGTTGGAATGATGAAAGGTGGTATGTATGACCCTATAAATCTTAATCCGTTTTACAAATATTTTCCATCCTCAGAAATCCCCTATGTGACTAACTTTTCACTCATTAATCACCTTGCATCTTGTAATATTTACCTTCAGTTAAATTGGCATATGGTTACAGCTTAATTGACTTTTATCTTTAATGCTGAATTCCTATTTTTGAAGTTGTTCTGTAATCTCACTTTTAAAGGAAAGAAAGAAAACTTCTCAATTTATGATCACAACTGAGTCCAAAATTTAAGTTGTGAAGTGAAAAATTTGTGAAGTGAGTTTTGCCCCATTTTACGATTTTACTTGCCACATTTGTTAAGTGAATCACTGCAGTTGTTAAATCAGTAACATAGTTGTTAAGTGAATTGGATTTCCCCATTGACTTTGCTTGTAAGACGATTGCAAAAGGGGATTACGTGCAGAGGTGGTATTCAGCAGGTTCTGACCAGTTCTGGAGAACTGGTAGTGGAAATTCTGAGTAGTTCGGAGAACTGTCAAATACCACCTCTGACTGGTCCCAACCCCATCTTTCCTCTGCCTCCTGAGTCCCAGCTGTTTGGCTGGGTCTTCTTTTGTTGCCCTGCACAGGAGAACAGAGCTGGAAAGCAGGTTAGTGGGGTGGGGAGGGAATGGAGATTTTACAGTATCCTTCCCCTGCCACGCCCACCAAGCCATGCCCACCAAGTCACACCACACCTGCCATGCCACGCCATGCCACACCAGGCCACACCCACCAAGCCATGCTCACAGAACCGGTAGTAAAAAAATTTGAATCCCACCACTGTGTGTATGGTACATTTTTAATGGTATTTTTGTTAAAATTTGAGGTTCGGCTTATCCACAGATGGGCTTCCACATGAGTATATAATAGCTTCCCTCCTTTTCCCCTCTCAAAGTAAATTCTGGATCAGACCTAATTTATATTAGGATTTCTGCTATTCTGTAACACCTAGATACAAACTGTGAATGGGGCTAATGATCACCATCTTCCTTTAAAAGGACAAGTGCTTTTGATTAAATGCTTTTTCAATAAATGCTGTGAAAATGAATATGACTTAAGACCAATCACACAGTCCTTTTAGCTTTTGATGATGAAATGTTGCACACATGGTAAATAGTGATTTCCCCTAACTGGAAATACAATTTCTATAATAGAAAAATAAACATGACTGATTATTCCTAGATGTAAAGTGGCTATTATTAATCTATAGATTGCTGTTTACAAATAATTATTTAACTGATATTCTTTATAAACTTTGATTAGAAAGAGAAAACATTCCTTCGATCTCGTGATCTTTTCTAGTACATTTTCCACTATTCCTTTTAAAGGCTATGTCACATGTCAGTCTATCTGAGTAGTAAACTCATAATTTGTTTTCATTTTGTTACTGAAGATCATAATCTTAATCTTACCCAAGCAGAACTAAATTTAAGCATTGTTACTAAAAGCAGTCTTTTAGAAGCTGGTTCATTTATTAGTTAATTTTTTTTTTAAAGTATGATGGTTAGTCCTTACTGTAGAAGCTTGCAGAGATTAATTATTTTAGAGCAACATCTAGATTCACATTTAACTCAGTGAAAATGTTTTAAAGTAAAACCATTAGCTATTAATTCACAAGGATTATCTTTAAAGACAGACATTTATTCCTTGTTGAAAACAGTTCTTCAAAAGTTTATATCTACCCTTTCCCAGTTTTCTGTCATTGTATGATGAGATTATATTGAGTGACAAATAAAACAAGGAAACAGATGTTTTATTTTTTCCCAGAAACACAGATGCATTTATTTTAATGCATCATCTGAACTGATTCTAAGAATTCTAATTTGCCATTCAATTATTTCATGCTTCAGTGTTACAGTATACTTAAATTAGTAAAAGAGGAAACTGCTGAAAACTATTTGTATTACTCTGAACTGACTCTCTATAATATCTATGAAACAAATCTGTTCAAATGCAAACTGGTTTACAGGTAAAGGACATCATTACACTTATCAGTACTTGTGTATTTGCAGAGCCAATTAGTTGAAACATCATTGTCAAAACAAATTTTCCTTCAAAGAACTGTGCATACATGGAGTGTGCTTGTTATTTAAATGTTCTTCACAGTGAAAATCTATGATTATGTCAGCTCTTCACTTTTCTAATGTGTAAGATATACTAAATGCAGAAGGTATTTTGTGGGAGCCGTTTACTTTAAATACCCAGCTGGCTGATCGAGTGCGTTTGCATTTCTGCCTCTGTGTTTATAAACTTGCTTTTGTCACTTTTCTCTGACCAAGGTTCCTCTGAGTGTAATTTGGCTAGGAGATTAAGTGTGAATAGGAAGGTCAAGTCTAGAGTAAAGTCTTTGCCTCTCTTAAATAAAGGCCAAATGTAAAATTGAAACAGATATCTCTGAAGGTATCTTAGTCTCTTCTGAAGTAAAGGGAATCTCTTCTGAAGCAGAGAAAATCCTATCTCTAAATCTTTGGACCCATGTAAGAAGTTTTCCTGGCTTGCCCTAGATTTCATCGTCCTTTTCAGATAAGGAGATGTCAGAGAATAAAAATACAGAATTTGAAATGCCTGTCTTGATCAAAGTTTCACAGCTTATATCAGATCCAGTCTCATCAAATTCATCACATGAATTTGCATCTTTAATTTCTTATCTTGATCCATCACTCCCAAGTGGAGGAACAGAGGGCTGAATGGCAGAGAAATCACAGATTGCAGAGTTGTGCTTGGTGGGAGAGATTGCTGGTTTGGAAGTCAGAATTGTGGTGGGCACCAATGGGGCTGAAGAAGACTATTAACGGGAACTTCATTCATTCTAAATATTTGTATACCATTTCCTTTAGAAAACTTTAGAACAGGTTTGTAATAGCATCCAAATAGTTCAAACAGAAAGCAGAACAGTTGATTAGAGCATATTGTATACAATATACAGAACAAAATAAACAACAAAATATACAGTCAAACAATAAGGAAAAAAACAGAGGAGAATCAGGCAATTGCAAAGCAATGAGAATATGGCTGTTTGCAGTATGTACATTACACAAATGTTGTTAATATCATTATGCTTTTCAGATTTCAAGTTGTAAATGCAATGACTATAATATTGATGTTGTTGGTTTGTTGAGCTTTAGTATATATACAGTGAACAACCAACATACTGTTTTGTCTTGTTGATGTTGCATTTCCAACATGATGTTGCATTTATTCTTTGGTTTACTGCACTGACAAATGATACAATGTCTTAACTGTTGCTATTACCAGTACAACGTTAATGTTGTTTGTTGAAGAACTCTTTTGCCTAACCCTAACCTTCTATGCTGGGGTTGACAGGTTGGGTGGTAAAGGAACAATCAGCAGGGAGTAGAAGTCAGCTTCTTTTGTAGCTGTGAAATAAGCAAAGGGGTTTCTCTGAGTTCCCAGTGTTTCCAGTAGCCAGAACATTTGAAAACTCCCTGCTTTTGTTCTATATGGACCACAGAACTCAGTGAATGCCAAATTTTGTCCCAGCAAAATACTCAAAACGAAAAATTCCAATAAAACATTTTGAAGGGGGTTGTTTTGTCTATGTGCAAAACTAAATCCATTTTCCATGTAGGACTCACACTTATTTTTCATAATGGTCTGTGTACGAAAATAACTCATCCATCCACCTATCGCTGAAAGAATTCCTCATCGTCAATCTCCACATAAGGGATAGGCAATGAAAGCAACTTCTGCCCCGGGCAGCATACTTAATCATTATTCTAACCACAGCCTTAGGAACTTCCTCTATTTTTTTTATTTCACATGCAGCAGAGAATCATATGGTTTACCTACCCCATTGGTTGTTCTGGATAGGATTTGGATATTATTCTCTTCAGTGAACTACACAACCATCTTTTCTGAGTTTTCTCAGAAAATCTTCTGCGCACTGCTGCAGAATATTGAAGGGAAGTATGAAATGCCAGTCTCCTGGCAATTCCCACCTTGTTCTGCAAGTAGGCACAATAACAGATGCTCCCTTGTACTGGGTTACAAGAAAAATGCTATTGCAAGTAAATAACAGCTGATTGTAAATATGCCTGAATTTTCATGTTAATGCTTCCTGTGATAGATGCATGCCATAATATTAAACAATTAGAATTGTTTTTAAATTATTCTGTGGAATGGCCTGAACTCTTATATCCTGCTGGTATTAGACTATATGTAGCACCTGTCTTTGTTTTGAGTGTAACTGTGATTTAACATTTATCCTAGCATTTTCATGTCAATATAATTCTCTGTCAACTCAAGAATGGATGAACAGCACGATAACATGGTCAAGAAAAATAAATATTGTAATCTTTTTAACTACATACAGGTTTATAATAAATTACTTTCATATGATTATACAAAATTTAGAATAGGAAATGTTGGTACTGTACATTTAGGGAAATCATTTTAGTTGTGTCTCTAAGATTGCTCCATCCGTTTATTCTTGCCATTATAAGTAAAGTTAGATGACTTCTATGTTTTACAATGAGGTGAACAATTTTTTCCCACAGCTTCACTTTGGTATATTTACGCATACCCACAAACACCCACAACTTTCAAGGACTGCTGGAGGTGTGATAGCTGATATAAGATTAGAAGAGACTGAATTTTCAAACCCTTCTTATATTTTTGTACGATAAATTTTGTTTGGCTTATTTGTACAGGAAATCTGGAACAAATATATCTATTCTACAAGGTAAATAGTTAAAATAAGACAAAAGAAAACCACATTTCTAAAATTTAGTGGTGCAAATTTGGAGGGCTCTGGAGCCTACATACAGCCCATGATCTTACAGAAGTTGCAAATCCTTGATTAGGAAACCCAGCCAAGGACTCTGAAGATCACTCCTTTCTAATATGATGTGCAATTCTTATTTGGAGGACTTACAGTATAATTACCTATTAGTTGTAAATGAGATCCATAGAAATAACACATGTTTGTGAGAAAATCTTTTCAGGGGAAAATGATTGATCATATCTCACTGCTCCCAAAAATAAGAAGGGTCGATAGACTTAATAGAAAGTTATCCTTCTGTTCTTCTGCAACATTTTACAAACCTAGACTGAATAGTATTGTCTACAGATTATCCTATGTTATAACAGCAAATAGAAAAAAAAGATGATGCAT